GAAGGAAGACACAATCCAAGCCCTCTCAACAGATGGCCATCCAGCCTCTGCTTAATGATCTCCAGAGAAGGAGACTCCACTGGAGCCCCAGGCAGTCTATAATCCACAAGAGGTGAAAGGGACCCCCAAAGACCATCCAATGTCATATACGAAGAATGACATAAGCACAGTTTGTGGTCATTCTGAGCAACCCCCCTTCTGCATGCACGAAGATACAATCCAAGCCCTCTTGACAGATGGCCATCCAGCCTCTGCTTAACAACCTCCAGAGAAGGAAACTCCAGTGGACTCCCAGGCAGTCTATAATCCACAAGAGGTGAAAGGGACCCCCAAAAACCATCCACTGCCATATAGGAAGAATGACCTAAGCACTTTTTTGTGGTCGTTCTGAGCAACCCCCCTTCTGCATGCAAGAATATACAATTCAAGCCCTCCTGACAGATGATCATTCAGCCTCTGCTTTAAAACCTCCACCAGACTCCAAGGCAATATATATCACACTAAAGTTGGAAGGGCCATCCAAAGGCCATCCATTCTAACTCTATTCTGGGAAGAATGACGTAAGCACGCCCAACAGATGGCCATCCAGCCTTTGTTTCAAAACCTCAAAGAAGGAGATTCCACTGGAGTCCCGGGCATCATATTTCACTGCTGAACGGCTCTTCCTGTCAGGAAGTTCTTCCTAATCCTTTGGTGGAATCTATTTCCCTCGGATTTGAAACCATTTTGTCCTAGTCTCTGGAGTAGGAGAAAACAAGCTGGCTCACTTCTCAATGGGACCTCCTTTCAAATATTTCAACATGGCTATGATATCTTCTCCAAGCTCAATATGCCCATCTCTTTAAGCAGCTCCTCATAGGAATTCATAGTTTCCTGAACTTTGACCATGTTGGTTGTCCTTCTCTGGAAAACATTCAAGTTTGACCATCTCCTTCTTGAATGGCTTTGCCCAGAACTGGACTCGGTCTTATTCCAGGTGAGGCCTAACCAAAGCAGAAGAAGAGAGTATGGCTTCCCTTGATCTTGATACTGAAGACCAACAGGTAGTAGGTTTGAATCCGGGAGAGAGTGGATGAGCTTCCTCTGTCAGCTCCAGCTCCCCATGTGAAGACATGAAAGAAGCCTCCTACAGGGATGGTAAAACATCTGGACGCTCTCGGGTTAACGTCCTTGCAGATGGCCAATTCTCTCACACCAGAAGTGACTTGCAGTTTCTCATGTCGTTCCTGACATGAAAACAAGATTTTTCTGCATTGCCTTCTTCCCTGTTGAAGTTCATTTTGTTAGTTTTGGCCATTTATCTCTTGGATCTGGGAAGGTCTCTCGCCCAACCTTTTTAACTTGTATGCAGAACACATTATGTGATGTGCGGGGCTTGATGAATGCAAAGCTGGGGTGAAAATTGCTGGAAGAAATATTAACTACCTCAAATATGTAGATGACACCACTCTGATGGCCAAAAGCGAGGAGGAGCGGAGGAGCCTTCTAATCAAGGTGAAACAAGAAAGCGCAAAAGCCGGGTTGCAGCTAAACATCAAAAAAACCAA